TAATTTAATCAGTGGAAAAGGGTTTGGGAATGAGAGGATCCAAGGGACTTTGAAGGGAGAGGGAGAAATAACCCTCCCTGAACCCTAACTCCCTTTAAATCCTTTTCTGGGTGCGACACTCTCGCTACAGGGAGATATTCTTGTTGCAATGAGGTTCTCTCGCTGTAGCAACACGCCCTCTCGCTACAGCAAAAAACTCAGAGAAATCTGCACTATGGTTTCTGCAGAATCTCGCTACAGCGAGACTGCACCTAGAAATGCACCCCCAAACTGTCGCTTTGTCGCTACAGCGAGACATCTCTCACTATAGCCAGAAGGCGATAGTTTCAGTCCTTCCTCCTAGGGCCCTCTCGCTACAGCAAGAATCCTCTCGCTGCAGCGAGGACAGCCCAGTATTACACCCTGCACTTAGGCACTTAGCCCATTTTCAACCCTATCTAGTCGTGCATACACATATATATACGCACATCCACAACATACATATATATACACATATTCCTACTCATTACACACAAAACACCATCATTACGCATTGAATGCAAATTTTAAACATTCATTTACACTTATACACACATATACACGCATTCAGATTTATATAAATAACAATAATTAATATTACAAAATTTGAGGCGTTACACCAGCCAATTCCATCACAACTTGGAAGGATCTCACTCAACAATTCTTGGGAAAGTACTTTCTCCCATCAAGGTCCTCTAAGCTTATGACGGAGATATGTTGCTTCCAACAATATGAAGCAGGATCCTTATTTGAGGCATGGGAGCAATTTGGAGAGCTTTTGAAGAGATGTCTTCATCATGATTTCCTGACATAGAGACAGGTGCAAATCTTTTACAGTGGCCTATCAATCACCACTAGGGCTACAATTGATGCCGCAGTAGGAGGTCCCTCATAAGAAAAGGTCCAGATGATGCATACAAGCTAATAGATGAGATGACATCTTCTAGCTTTTAGTGGCACACTGCTGACTCTTACGACATCAAGAGGAAAAAGACCTTCCTAGTCTATCAAGCAGAGAGTAGCAGCCCACTAATGAACTAAATGGCAGCCCTTGCAAAGCAACTAGAATCTTTAATGAAGGCTAAACACTAACCTATAAGAGCTCTTGCAAGCCCAGAATCTAAGCAAGAGGAGGAAAATTTCATAGGCAATCACAATTCAGGGTGGAGGAGTAATCCTCCTAACTCTTAGGGGAATGGCTTTGGAAGTCAAAATTCAAGTGTTTATTGCCCCCCTCATATGCAAAGTCAGGGAGCAAGACCAAAAGGAAAAGAAGCTCCTAGATCTCAGTCCAATTTTCAAGAATAGATGATGCAATATGTTCATTATTCTGATAAGAGGATGACAGAGCTTGAATCCAAATTGGACCAATATATTGATAGAACCGATAAGAAGTTTGTAGAGGTCAAATCTAAAATATAAACCAACTTTTCTAAGATGGGTGCACAATTGGAGTAAATTATGAACCTTTTGAGTCAAAGAGTGATGGGAACATTGCCATCTCACCCTGAAACTAATCCAAGGGAGCAATGCAATGCCATCACCCTTATGTCACACTCTTTACAACTGCTGTTGCAATGAAGGTAAACTGACTAGCAAGTGTACTAGTGTTGTTGTAGCAAGTTATAAAAAATCTTAGAATCAAATTGAGTTCCAAGTATCGTCCTCAGGGAATAAAGTTCTCAATTACCACTTCACAAGATCACAATTAGTTGAGCTTTACAAATTTCAGATGGAATTGGTATGAATGTATCAAAAATGAAATTAGAAAGTAAAACATAACAGTTAGTACAAAAGTATATAGTAAACAGATGTAGAAAGAGTAGTTAGGAAATTGTTTCACCAAAACTTCAACATTGAATTAATAAAGTTCTGAACTTTCAAGCATTTAGATGGAATGACAATCAGTTTCACGTTATATTAATCAAAGGACAATCCCTTGCCTCAATGAATCTAGCATCTAATCAAATCATTCCAATCCCTTAGATCTAATCCAATCAAATATTGCATTAAGTTTGAGAAACCAAAAGATTGCAAGATTAAGATATCTTATCCCTAAGAAACCAATAACCTTGGTAATTAATTCAGATCTGAGAAACAAATTCAATTCCCATTTATAAGAGTTCCTCTATGATTAGTTGATCAAATTTCCATTCAATCAATACTTTAACAGCAGAATCAATCACTCAATCCAATCCAAAACTCAAAGTTCAGATTCAAAATCAATTCAACATTTCCATTTCAGATTCACAGTTCCTAACCACAAAGAGTTTAAGCAAACATTACAAAAAGAGAAGAGAAGAGAAGAGAAGAGGAGAAGAGAATGAACAAAGAAGAAACATCTTCAAGCCAATCTCCAATCTGATCCCTCAAGAAATGAAGCTTGGTGTTCGTCCTCAATCTCCCTCTCTGACTCTCTCAAGAACAAAAGCAAATGTAAAATGAAAAATGAACAAAAAACTACAAAATTCCTGAGCTAACTGCCTTTTATAGAATTCCCGCTCTGCTGGCGTGATCACTTTTTCTAGCAATAGTAATCACGCAGAGGCTAATTCTTCATTTCCACTTGCGCGTGTTCACTTTTGCTGGTGATAGTAGCCACGCGCACTTCAAAGTGTTCACTTTTGTTGAAAATAGTAGCCACGCAGAAGCTTCCTTTGCTAATGTCATGCGCGTGTTCACTTCTGCTGGAAATAGTGAACATGCAGAAGCTGCTTTCTTGCGTGTGTTCACTTTTGCTGGTAATAGTGAACACGCGCAGCTACTCTTCTTGGAGGACTCTCTGGAACGCTCACTTTTTCCAGAAAAAGTGATTACGCAGAAGCTCTTCTCATTTTATGGTTTTAGAGTGATCACTTTCACCAGCGAAAGTGATCACTCAGAGGCTGTTCTTCAATTATCAACTTCTTTCCTCCAATTTTTGCTACTTTTCTTCTATTTTTCCTTTGATCATCCAATCCTCATGAACTTAGCTCAGAATTCCCTACAAAGGCATACTTGAAATGTCACTTTTTACATAGAAAATCAATGAATTTTAAAATAACTATGTTTAAAAGTGACATGCAACATTTTATTATTTTTTAAGGGTTTTCTACTATTTCTAGCATGTTTTCTTTATTACTTGCACTAAAAACTATTGTAAAATACTAGTAAAATATGGATTCATCACCTTAGAAGTGGAAAGAAATTACAAGAATCACAGAATAGAGGCACATGCACGCCCATGCTTGTTGAGAAGCACGCCCATGCTGATTCTACATGCACACCCGTGCTTACTGATGAGCATGCCCCTGCTGAAATTGAAGCACGACCGTGCTTATACAAGCAGGCCCATGACAGTGATAAAAGCACAGTCGTGCATCATTATGAGTAAGACAGTGCTTCAAGCGAGGAGACTGAAAAAGAAAAGAAGGAAGAGCCTCTTGTTCAACCAAGGCCCTATGAGCCTAAGATGCCTTTCCCACAGCGGCTGCAAGGTCACCATCCTTATGATGAAGAGTTCCACAAGTTCTTAGACTTATTGGGCAAAGTGCACATCAATATGCCTTTCATTGATGCTATCTCCAAAATGCCCAAATATGCTAAATTTTTAAAGGAGATTTTGACCAATAAAAGAAAGTTGAGAGCACATGAAATTGTGAAGCTCAGCTATAGTGAGAAAAAGGAAAGGAATTATAAAGGCTTGAGGGATTATATGCTGCACTAAAATTATCCATGAGTATGAAATTATAAAACCATGAGATTATGAAATTATGATTATAGATCTATGCTATACTTTGAGTTCCTGAAAATATACTATCCTGAACTATTATGAATGTAACACCTTAAATTTAATTTAAAAATAATAAATTTTCACAAATTTTGGATAATAAATTTTCACTTTTAAATACCACTTCAGTACGTGGTTCCATCAATATTTCAAAATAAAGTAAAGGGTTACAAGTTCATTATCCAATAACTACTACAGGACTTATTCAAATACAACAAATTTTAAAAAACTGTTCAAAGTCCTACAGTAGTTCCATCCGCCCTTCACCGAGTCTGGTGTTGATCGTTTTGATTACCTGAAAAATGAACGTAAGGGTGAGTACCCTACACTACCAAAACGCAGTAATCAATCATAGAGTCTCACCTCAGAATCATTTAAAATACATTAAAACAAGTATAATCACAGTCAGCATTATCTCACAGTACATTTTAATTCCATAATTCACAGCATATTATACCAGCGTTACCCACCCCATCTACAACATATTAAACCAGCGTTACACGCCCTTTTACAGCACTCTATACCGGTGTTATACGCCCTTTTACAGTACATTATACCAGCGTTAGCATGCCCCATTACAACACATTATATCGGCGTTAGCATGCCCCATTACATCACATTATACCGGTGTTAGCACGCCCCACTACATCACATTATACCGGCGTGTATTATACCGACGTTAGCACGCCCCATTACACGCATGCAACATTCATGCCTCACACAGCACCCAATCCACATTTCATTCATAACATACGGTACTAGGCCCATATTGATTTCATAGCACACGACACATAGACTACATTCAGATGAAATTACATTCTGGTTTTTGCAAAATCTTGCTACAGCGAGATCCGCTCGCTACAGTGAAACTGCACACAGAAATGCACTCCCATCTATCGCTCTCTCACCACAGTGAGACCTCTCTTGCTACAGCAAGAAGGCGACAGTTTTGCCTTTTTCTCCCAGAGCTCTCTCGCTACAGCAAGACAAGATGCAACACCAAAACAAAAACAAAACAGAAAGGGTGAGCTCAATACATTCCTTCATCAGAAATTGAATAAGTAAGAAAATCAACATAATACCAACGAACCTACTGACTCATAGTTCAACAATCACATTATCATAACATAATACTCATCAAACAGCCACAAAACGCTAGTAAAATAAATGGGTTCATCATAACATAGTTATAACAAAGGTAATTAAAACGTCACTACTTCTTCCATTCATTTTCAAATTTTCCCCAGTCAAGATGATCGAAGGCCCTTATTCCCTACAAGCACATTTCGTATACAATCCTTCAAAGACATTTCCCTTCTTCACAAATTTTAATTCCTTAGGAATGAGTCCTTCCAGATCCTGGTAATGCTTGCTCACGTCAGGATTAGTGGAGGCATTGATGGCGACGTGTCAGTCCTGGTCGCGGTGAGCTATTCCGCGCCATTAGGGCAACCCCCCTCCACTACCCCCAAGGTTCCTCCCTTGAACCTGAACACTCACATCCCTTAGATGTGCTAAACTGTGATCTTGACTCTCCAACCTTCTTAATATACACGTAAAACCGAGGAAACATAAGAAATTCTTCAACTAAAATGAAGAGGAAGGGGACTAATTGACGTAAAGCGAAAAGAACACAAGGATTCCTAGAGTTATTTTAACATGCAATCGGATATTCATCAAAGTTACTAACTTTATTCATTAATAAAGGCAAACAAGAAAGAATCATGTAAGGTTTTCAATATCATGGACATTTAAATAGTAATCCCACTCATCCACACTCATTTGAGTTACCACACATCATTTTTAAGTCGTATTCAAATAAAGAAGTAGGGGGATCAAGAGAAAGTTGTTTGCATGTAACTTTTAATCTTATTAGAAACGAAAATGGAAAGGAAGAATATTAATCACACTCAATCACGCACATATGACCAAGCACATTCATTCACACACACAATCATGAACTCCCCTAACCTTGTTTGGTTCGAAAAATAGATGAGGAGTGGAAGGTTTAGTCTCGGTGTTGGTAAGAACTTCAACCACAGCTTAAGTCTTGGATGGCGGCACAATCGTTGGAAGAGGGGTGCAAGTTGTGTTGGAAACTCTCTAGGGTTCTTCGTACCTTCAAGGGGGGTGGTGATGGGAACGTTGCTCACGAGAACGAGAGTGTAGAAGGGTGTTTGATGTGGGGGTGAGAGAACGTTTGAGAGAGAAAAGAGAAATGAGGTTGAGAGTGTTTTGAAAAATGAGAAGGGAAAAGGGTGCGTGAGAAATGAAGAGGTTCTTATATAGTGTAACCTAAACCTTATGTCCATTTGTTTCCCAGAGGTTGGCGGTGAAGGGTTGCACAGGAATGGTTTTAGGGTTAAGTTAAGTGAAACACCCTTTTGCCTCCCCCTTTTTTTTTTTTAAAGGTCGCGCCTCACGGTGTCTAGGTGCATGCGAAACATCCCTTCAAGAGCATTGAATGCTCATAGTGTAAAAGAAGCAAGCCATTAATGCTTCCCACGTCTCCATAGGCCAGCCATTATGATGGAGTGACTAAGTAGGGTTTTGACTTGGGCAAGAGTGAGCGGTTAGAGTATGTTGGCAGCTAGGGTTTTGATTTGTGGAGGGAATGGGTTTAAACCCTTCGTATCCCACGAAATTGAAAGGGTTATGTCTCTTATGTGGCTGTGTAAATGAAAAGGTCTTTTAAGTGGAATTTTAATGGTGGCACGGTTTCAAGGGAAGTGATTGCCCCAGGTGTAGAGTTTTAAATATGGGTGGCGGTTTAAGTTGTTGGAGAAGGGAATAAACATGCAACATCTCTTTGAATTACTCACAAGGTGACGCCTTTTAGGGTAGTACATGCACATAATCTTGTAATGATTAGCCATGAATGCAAAGCAATTAAGGCAAGGATACACAATTAATATCACGCATGGTTTTAGGGTTTTAAATGCGTCATGGGAGAGTTTCTACGTTGACTCACGCCTATCCTTAATGTGGCTGACGGTTCCAATCATTTGGGGGAGAAAATTGGGGTGTGTCCATACGTTTTCCTCGAGGGGATTAAAGGTGAGTGGGAAGTAATTAAGGCAATTGGGTGCATTTTAACGGTTAGATGAAGGGTTGGTCGTGGAAGTAATCAAGCATGATTAATTCTCCAATAAATGGTCATTGGAATAAATGTCAAATTGAATTTTAGTGGCTGGCTAATTAAGAGCACGAGAATTTGGAAGGGTTACGTTTTGGGGAAGAGATTTTGGGGCTCCTAATTTCCTTTTATTTCACGACTGCACCATTAATGAGGGGGTTATAATATTTATCACACAAAAAGGCAGTCTAGGGAAAGGAAAACGGCTGCATCTAATTAGGGTAACCAAGGAATTAATAATCTCATTAAATGCAATGTTTCATGCTCTAAATCTAGGCCATTATGGCCGGTTTTTCTCTCTCCTGCATAAGCAAATAACGAAAATTTGATTACCTTATTTAAAAGAGGGGTATTGAATAAAATCATAAGGTGCATTAATGAATAGGGTAGCAATTATGTGTAAGTGTCGAGAATATGGAAAGTTTTCTTAACAAAGGTTATTGGGTTCTTGCTAATCTCGAATTAATCATAATCAAATGCATGAGAATATGGAAAGTCTATTCTTCTAGAAGAGGATTGTAGCTTTAAATTTTTGGTTGCACTATAAAAGGGATGTTTTTAAATAAGGTCCAAATCAAAATATGGCAGTCCAAGAGGTGGCGACTGCATTTATTTAGGGTAAGTAGGAATTATTGATTTTGCATTAAGTGCAGTCAATTTGGGTTAGAATCTAGGTTATCAAATTCGATTCTCTCCCTCCCCTGGACATGAATGACTTTTCAGTTACTAGCACTAAATAAGGAAAGATTGAAACTTGCCTCTTGGATCCTTTGTAGTACACGTGAGTTCTAGGGTAAAAAGAATGGTGGCTCTTATTAATAGTCTAACTTAGTGTGCATGGTACCAGAATAATGGAAAATTTAAGTACACCCATTATTAGAACCTAGTGAACATTCAATATAAATAAAGAAAGTCACACATGCAGTTCCACTTAAATTAAGAAAGCATATAACACAATCAAATAATAAGAATTAAAAGAACTATGTAATATTAATAACAATAATCAGCGGGGGTAAAAGAAAATATGGTCCACTCATATGACTCAAAAGACTATCTCGCCTCAGGTTAATCTCACTAACCTTGGGTTAAGTCAAGGTAACTTCATCACATAATCATATAGACATGCACATACGAAATTAACTAAACATACCCTGGGAGAAATAATTATGCAACCAGGGAACATAATATGATTAAACAGTTGTAGCAAGAACTAAACTAGAGTACTAAAAATCAAACAAAAGAGTTACTAATTAATAATTAACACTCTCTGCCATGCAGACCTGAATTTGCGATGTTACACACTAATTAATATTACAAAATTTGATGCATTACAACTCTCCCCTCCTTTAAGGAATTTCGTCCCCGAAATTCAATTTAACACACGCACGGCTTTACATGAACAAGTTCAGATACAACTTTCTCATTCTACTTAATGTTTCCCATGTGGCATCCCCCTCATCACTTGAGCTCTGTATTACCTTCACCAATGAGATCTCCTTGCCCCTCAGTTGTTTAACACGGTGATCAACAATTCTCACTGGGTATACGTCATATGACAAGTCTTCTCTCACTTGAATCGGGTCAAGGTCAATCACATGAGAAGGATCCAAACATATTGCCTAAGTGACACATGAAACACCATATGTAGATTCAAGAGATTTAAAGGCAACGCAATCCGGTATGCAGTAGGACCAATTCTACTCAGCACTTCGAACGGTCCAATGAACTTAGAAGACAGCTTCCGGGATTTTAGAGCTCTCCCAACTCCAGTCATAGGTGAGACCCTCAGAAACACATGGTCACCCACCTGAAACTCCAATGGCTTTTGCCTCCGATCATAATAACTCTTTTGTCGATCCTGTGCAACCTTTATTTTATCTCTGATCATTTTGATCTATTCTTTATGTCTTTGGATCATATCTGGCGCACACAGAGATGCCTCTTCAGTCTCATACCAACATAACGGGGTTCTGCACCTTCGCCTGTACAAGGCCTCAAATGGTGTCATTCCAATACTAGCATGATAGCTATTGTTGTACGTGAATTCCACTAGCGGCAGGCACTCTTCCCAAGTCCCCTGCTACTCGAGCACACAGGCCCTCAACAAGTCCTCTAGGGACTAGATGGTTCGCTCGGTTTGACCGTCAGCCTGGAGGTGATAAGCTGAGCTCAGTCTCAACTTAGTCCCCAACGCCCATTGCAGGCTCTCCCAAAACCTCAAGGTAAACCACAGGTTTCTATTTGACATCACACTAGTCGGCACTCCATGCAGCTTAACTATCTCCCTTACATATAACTTCGCAAGTCTCTCTAATTTATACTTCATGTTGATCGGGAGAAAGTGTACAGCCTTGGTTAACTGGTCTACTATCACCCAAATGGCATCATGGTTGTTCTTGGTTCTCGACAATCCAGAAACAAAGTCCATGGAGATATTATCCCATTTCCACTTAGGGATTTCCAACAGTTTCAACAATCCAGGTGGACGTTGGTGTTCTACCTTCGCCTTTTGGCAAGTTAAGCATTTAGCCACGTATTCAGCACATCTCTCTTTATACCATTGCACCAAAAACTCTTCCAGATATTCTGATACATTTTACTTGCGTCGGGTTGAAAACTCATCCTACTCTTATGCGCTTCCTCAAGCACCATCTGTCTCAGCTCATCCACTTGAGGAATGCACACTTGATTCCGTAACCTAATCACCCCGTTCTCATCACGGTGGAACTCCAATTCCGTTCCCTTAATCTTCTACCTCATCATTTCTTGCAGGAAGCTATCTCCCTACTGAGCATCTTGGACATACACTAGAAGGTCGTTGTGAATTGTCGTCGTCTCGAGATACAAACTCCCTGGCCTCACCTTCATGGCCAAGTTTGTAACGCCCTAAATTTTGTAATATTAATTATTGATAATTATATAAATCTAAATGTATATTCATGTGTGTATTTTTAAATATATGTTGTGAATATGTATGTGTATATATATATATATATATATGTGTGTGTGTATGCATGACTGGTTGGGCTGAAATGGGCTAGGTGCCTAAGTACAGGGCGAGATACTTGGCTGTTCTTGCTGCAGCGAGAGGGCCCTAGGAGGAAGGACCAGAACTGTCACCTTCTCACTGTAGCGACAAAGCGATAGTTTGGGGTGTATTTATGGGTGCAGTCTCGCTGTAGCGAAAGGGTCTCGCTGTAGCGAGATTTTGCAGAAACCAGAGTGCAGTTTTCTCTAGTTTTTCGCTGTAGCGAGAGGGCATGTCGCTGCAGTGAGAATATCTCGCTATAACGAGAGTGTCGCGACCAGAAAGGGACTTAAAAGGGGTTAGGGTTCGAGGAGAGTTATTTGTCCCTCTCCCTTTGATCCTCTCATTTCCCAAAGCCCTATTCCACCGATTAATTACCTCCAAAGCCGTTTGGGAGCTTGATTGAAGGTTGAATCCATGGGGGGAACGCTTGGAGGTAAGTTTTAATGGTTAGGGTTTTGGTTTTTCATCCCCTTTCTCTGTTTTCATGTTTCCCCTGGGTTCTCATGGAGTTTCTCCATGTGTTTAGGATGAAATCCGTGAGGGGGAGTACTTCTTGGTGGATTTAGCGTGTGGGACGTCAGTCTAAGGTAAGGGGGGACTCTACCCTACTCTTTGCATGTGATTTACCGTTATTTCGTTGAATATTGTGATGTGGTTGAAAATTACTGTGAAATATAATGTGAGCCATGTGCCGTGATATATGAATATTATGTGTATGGATGGGAGAATATGTGATTGATGGAATTTTGCTATGTATTACGGTGTGTGAACAAATGTGGGCCCGAGGGCCGTGTAATATAGATTAATGTTGACTATGTGTCATGTAATGTGAAATGAACGTGGGCCTAGTGCTGTGTATTTGAATGCAATGTGGGCTGTGTGCCGTGTGTAAGCATGATTATTGCATGCGTGAATGGAATATGTGTGAATAAGTGTGTTAGCACCGTTGTAATGTGTTGTGAATGGTTCAGCGATACACCGGGGGTGTGGGAGATGAGGACGGTAGAAATACCTTGGGGAAGAGGGAGTGGTGGTGACACCGACTACGAAACGGGTGCACCACGGGCCACACACTTTCTTCCTGACTAGACCTCTGACCATTACCTTTGCTGAACGACCCATGACTGCCCACGTGGTATCTGTGAGGCAGGGTAACTAGCGACCATTCATGGTGTAAATTTGTGATCACAGTACTATAGTGAATGTGGCTGGTATGTGTATGCATGGATTTGTGTTTGTACTTATGGATGTGAATTGCTGCTTGTGATTGTGTTTGTTGAATGTAATGGAAAGGTTCTGGAGGTGAGACTCTATGTTAAATGTGTGTTTTGGGTAGTGTAGAGTACTCACCCTTACATTCATTTTTCAGGTAATCAAGACGATCAGTATCGGACTCAGTGAAGAGATGGATGGACTGCTATAGGACTTAGTTTTTATTTAAAAACTTGTTGTAACTAAACTAGTCTTGTAGCAGTCATTTGATATTAATTTGTAACCCTTCCCTTATTTTGAACTATTTTATGAAAATTAGTTATTTGAATTTCATTAAATTGAAATTAAATTTAAGGTGTTACAAAGTTCATGTCTCGAAATTCCTCAATCAACTCCATCTCTTTCACCATCATTGCTGCCACGTGCAATGACTTCCAACTAAGACCGTCAGCCACCACATTTGCCTTACCAGGGTGGTAAGATAACGTGAAGTCATAATCCTTGAGGAATTCCATCCATCTCCTCTACCGCATGTTCAGCTCCCTTTGATCAAACAAATACTTCAAGCTTGTGTGGTCACTGAACACTTCAAACCTCACTCCATACAGGTAATGCCTCCATACTTTAAGAGCAAAAACCACCGCGGCTAACTATAAGTCATGGGTCGGGTAGTTGACTTCGTGCTGGCGTAACTGTCTTAAGACATAGGCGATCACTCACCCGTCTTGCATCAAAACACAACCAAGTCCATGCCCGGACGCATCACAGTACACATCAAATTTCTGCTCTGGGTACGGTAGAGCCAACACTGACGCCGAAGTCAACCTTATTTTCAACTCCAGGAAACTAGCTTCACACCCCTTGGTCCACTTGAACTCCTTTCCCTTGCGAGTCAGCTTCATTAAGGGCAAAGCTATCTTAGAAAATCCTTCAATGAACTTTCTATAATAGCCTGCTAGTCCTAGAAAGCTGTGAACCTCAGTCACGTTCGTCGGCCTTGGCCATTCAGCCACAACTGTCTTTCCCTCAAAATTTGCAGAACAATCCTCAAGTGCTCGGTGTGCTCTTCCTGAGTCTTTGAATAATTAGGATTTCGCCAATGAACACCACCACAAACTTATCCAAAAACTCATGGAAGATTCTGTTCATGTAATCCATGAACACCACAGGCACATTGGTCACCCCAAACGGCATAACCAAGTACTCATATTGACTATACAGCATCCTGAGTGCTGTCTTAGGTACATCCTCGTTCTTCACCCTGATCTGATGGTATCCTGATCTTAAATCAATCTTTGAGAACACTGCGGCTCCCCTCAATTGATCCATCAAATCATCATTCCTTGGAAGAGGATACTTGTTCTTGATCGTTACTTTATTCAGTTTCTAGTAATCTACACACATCCTCATGCTTCCGTCTTTCTTTTTCAACAAGAGCACTGGTGCTCCACACAGTGACACACTCAGTCTTACAAACCGTTTCTGCAGCAAGTCTTCCACTTGTTTCTTAACCTTTGCCAACTCCACTGGTGACATCCTATAAGGTGCCACAGAGATCGGGCTTGCCCCTAGAATAAGATCAATGGTAAACTTTATCTCCCTCTTGGGTGGTAACTCAAAAACATCTTTGGGGAAAATTTCTAAGAAGTCCATTACTATCAGAATATACTTCGGCTCTACCACGCTTTCAACCTCCATTGAGAACATAACCATAAAAGGCTTGGTGTTTACAGTGTTCTCCCACGCCCCTGGCTCGTAAGCCTTGGAACCCCTGCCATTGTTGTACCAAAGATCAAAGTCTTCTCCCTACAGTCTAATAACACATGGTTGCAGCAAGCCAATCCATTCCTAGAATCACATCCAATTGAGAAAGAGGTAAATAGATCAAGTTCACCTCAAACTCTGTCATGTACCATTATTGGACACCCTAGACACACCCATGACATTACAACCGGCTTACCCGTAAGAGTAGTCACCACAACATTCCACAGTAGTTCGGTCATATATAGACCCAGACTCTTCACACAGTCCACCGATATAAAAGAGTGCGTAGCACCCGAGTCAAACAACACGTCAAGTAATCTGCCTTTAAGTATGCATTTACCTCGGATCAGCTCCACAGATTGTAAAGCCTCTGCCCCATTCATAGCAAAAGACTCTCCCAGGAACACTCGGCTTCTATCTCGTACTCAGCCCCGCGCTTCCCCTTGATTCAGGCCTCGGAGCTGTACTTGAACTGCCGCTCCTCTTGGTGGTCCAACACACATTAGCAGTGTGCCCCGACTTCCCACAGTTGTTGCAAGTAATCTTTGGCTGTGGGTAGTCCTTTACCATGTGTGGTCCTCCGCACCTGAAGCACTTGAGCCGTCCTCTGAAAGAACCCGATCCCGAGCCACTCCCACTGCTCTTCTCTTGAGATGAGTTCCCTCGGGTGATGAATCCATATTTTACTAGTATTTTACCATAATTTTTAGTGCAATTAATAAAGAAAACATGCTAGAAATAGTAGAAAACCCTTAAAAAAATAATAAAATGTTGCATGTCACTTTTAAACATAGTTATTTTAAAATTCATTGATTTTCTATGTAAAAAGTGACAATTCAAGTATGCTTTTGTAGGAAATTCTGAGCTAAGTTCATGAGGAT